CGGGATTTCGTAGTCATAACAGTGTCTATCTCCACTGGTGACAAATCCTCCAGATTATGGGTTTCTATTAAGTCTGACATGAGGTATGTAACAAATATAGCAATAAATTTAGCACGAAAAATGGTTACTATAACACGAATAACTTAAGATAATACGGAATAAACTAGTTATATATTCAACTTAGTTTACGGATAATCAGGTCTACTTTTACGATTAAGTAAAAAAAATGTTAATAACAGAAATGAGGTTAAATTTGTGTTCAAAAAGGGCTCACCAATTTCGTGCCTTGAAGTAACCCTCGTGCTATTGATAGAAGGAACCAGACAAGTAGCGAATAGGTCTTTATTTCGATCTTCGCGCGGTGACAGTGGAGCATGGGATTATTTGTTCAGACAAACAAAGACTCTCAACATTCAAGATAATAGGGAATATAACGCTTATAAAAAATAAGGAAGTGAATGAATACTTGAACAATACTGTTTTGGCATAAGCTTGGTTGTTTGGGGTCAACTCTTAACCAACCAACCTGAGCTGTTACACATATACTTTCACTTTGTTCCTTTTGATCCCCTTAGTTGTACATTGTTAGTTTTTTATTACATTTGAATTGTTAATATTTGTACTTTATCATAGTTTTCATTTTATTACGCCTCCACTAAGTTTTTGTGCTTCTTCCCGAACTGTATCTACTTTGTTTTACTTGACACTTGTTCTTGAAGGTAGCCATATTGATTTGCTCCTCCTTTTGTGTGTTCTATCCAGTCAGGATAGAATAAAGTTCATTTGTTGTTACTGGTAATTTTCCTTCATCTTTCATCAACTACTTTATTTATTGTAATTTAGATTTTATTGATTGAACAATTATTGGTTGTATAGTCGGGTGGTAATATTTGTTGAGGTAACGTTTTTCATTTAAATTTATGATGAATTATAGAACCGCTAATTACCCGACTACTTGTTTTGATTTCGATGGGCAAGGGCGCGTGTCTAACGTACCTGGAAGGCTATTCAGCAGTCCAAACCGTAGTTTGGATCTTACACTGCATATCTTTTATCATTGATTCTAAGTGAGGCTGATAATGCACTGGTACTCTGCGAGGTGGTTGGCGTAGTGGCATGTAGTCACCTGTAACAATGGAATGTTGAACAATGGTTGTCCGATTTCCAGAGAAATTCTCCGAGAAAACAGCTTAATCGTTGGAGTACGTTAATGGGCTCTCGACGGTCCTTTTCGCTTATTATTTGGTTATCTTGTACCTGACGTACAACCTCTGCAATTCCCACCTGAGCTACGGTTTCGGTTGGCATTTCCTGGCGTTGTAGTTGCACGACAACCCCGCCAATTTTAGCTTCCGACTTATTCATGTCTATAGAGACCTGATATCTTAACATGAAGTCAACCCCGAGTATCATGTTCCAGGTCAGTGTGGGCAAACCAGGAATTCATGTCGAAAAGAGTTCCTGTTTATTGTTAGCTTTAACCCTATCTTAGAACACGCAATCAAGGGGTCTCCGCTCGCCGTAAATAATGTAGAGGAGCATTGTTTACGCTGAGTGCTGTGGTTAAGTCTCTGCAAGAAGTCTTCCTTATTGAGGGATACTGAAGCTCCTGTGTCTAGAGGTATTTCTAGCTCGATGTTTTGTACTCTACCTTTAAACGTAGTTGGATTGACATGATTAACATGGGAAGATAAATTACCAAAACGCCACTTACCTGGTCTACGGGGGCAGTTGTGACCGCATCTTCTAGCGTTCCTGCCAAACGTTTTGCAATATATACACTCGGCTTGACGCCCATTGTAGTTGCCCTATGCCGGTCGTTTATTCCACCTTTAATTTGACTGTCCGCGAATAGCACCTTGGCCACAAAGGTTGGCCACAGCCATTGTAGTCTGGCAGCTGTTCAGGCCACTAGATTTTGTAGCTCGTTCCACAGTCGTTACTGATGATGAATGTGCATTGGATAAATTCACTAGGTTGTCAGAGGCCAGGGAGCGTAATGTTGTTTATTTTACGTCAGACGTATCAGTTGGTGGATTTCGAAGAAAGTGTTCTTTAAGTGGTCCGGGCAACAGGCCTTCGACAAAACGTGAGCGTATGAATTCCTCTCGTCCCATCATATCTAAACGAGGGAATGCTTGTACTGCGACTTGCTGCAGAGAATGAAGATAGTCTATTAGACTCTCACTTGCTTTCTGGTGGCGTGATAAAAACTGAATTGTCACCTGCTGGGTGTCTACGGGCATGGAAAAACAGTCGTCTAGAATTCTCCAGTTTTGTGAGAGCGCGTTACTGGCCGCAAAACCATTCGCTATAGCCCTGTGTACCGCTTCATTGCTCAGATAAGAAACGAGATAGTTGAAATGTTCGGTCAATGGAACTCTCTAAAGGTACGCTGTGACTTTAAATTTCCAAACGGAGTAATCTGACGACGTTTCAAGCAGTAGTGGCTGGCGTGGGATTGAACCGGGAGCAGCCCTGATTGGAATCAGAGGGGGTTCGTCTGGATTCTCATCGCGATTTTTCGTCGGCACCTCCATCACCAGTTGTAACACGTGTAATCAGCAGTCACTGGAAGGCGGGCAGACCTAAAGCCACAACACACACAATGTTAACTGAGCACTTCACACCACAGAGGGAACACGGAATGGAGACCACCAGTCGTTTATTTGAAAATTAAAATTCGCGGGTTATGTACAGAAAAGAGAGCTAGTTTACAAAACGGTCTTATGAGTCGTCCTATAAGTTTAGTGCATGAAGGGCTTGCTCTTCTTCTTCTAAAGCACTTATTCTTGCTTGCCCTGCAATAGAAAGAAAACAAAATCTATTAACAACATCATACATTATAATTTTAATCCCATCACACAGTCACACACTGAATCACGCCGCGACCTTGAGCTTAGTCAAACACGACCTTACTGTAAACAGTCCGGCAACATGCAATAGAAAATTAGGGTAAAAAAGAGAAGTCTTTAATCAAAATCACATAATAAAAGCTCAGACGAGGAAGACTGAAGAATAAAAGGTGTGCTTAAACAAGATCTGAACAAAGGTTAAAATACACGACAGGGAGAATAAACAAATAAATGACAGTACAGTCCGACAAAATGCTGTAGAGGGATTTTCATCCTTCTCTTTCTGTTGCAACACGTGTGCTTGTTTTCGTGACATACTTCGCAACTCCTCAATGAATTGTTATCTGCATAACTTTGGGCACGCATTGGACTGGGATTGCTTAGTAATTTAGTGGAATTCTCGATGCCCTGATGAATCATTTTATGAAATTTTCCTCCTTCACGGCTTTCGAAATTTGTAAACTTTAATGGTTTAGTTGTAGTTCCTTGAAATTTGCGAAGGAAAATGAATTCAGTTTATCTTGAAATGCCAAAATGTTTAGTAAGCTGTCGGCTTCTTTTTGATGAATAAAAGGAAATGAGTCACAATATTACCATCCTCAACATCTTCCTCAGTCACACTCCAGATTTTGAACTCTTCCATATAATCCTTGAAAGCATCGAAATTTGAATGTTTATTCAACTCTTCCATCCCAGGTTCCATTGAGATTCCCATGTGATGATTTGAAGTACCTGAATAATTGCAATAACCAGGAATCCTCGAAATAGAGCAACTTAAGTCAGGTAGAGCTAAGTGAGCACAAACGAGCGTGTTGTATTTGGAATTCAAAATCAGGCGGACACCGAGTACAAAGGAATAATTAGTTCATACAAACATCATATATAAACAGCCTGTTAACGTCTGAAGTCTTTCCTGGAGCTACTGTTCCTTCTGTTACATTATTCTGTTTGAACATTCCTTTTCTTAAATAGCTATTACTTTTCGGTGGATTCGATCAATAAGACGGTCGGGGAAAACCTCCAGAACGCAAACTCGCCTTCATGATATCATCCTCTATAAAGCAACGAGGTCAGGCATGTGGTCATTGCATAGTTGGGCAATATGAAAAAATAAACGAAATATTGTACTTGGAAACATAATTCTGAGCAAAAATAGTGTAGAGTCAGTATTTATTCCGAAAGCATAACTGAAGTTGAGTGTAATTCCACTTTCAACCAGCAATATAGTGCGGTATGAAGTGTACAGACTTGAGAGCATGAAGAAATGTGAAGAAAAGAGTAGTAGATTGAGGTGAATTCTCACAGGATATGTTGGGTTTATTGAGAATAATAGCCCTATTTCATTGAAATCAAGAACTGATAAAAGCTAGGTCACTGTCAAAAACCTGGATGTACTGGATGGCAGTTTTGCACGGGCGTATGACTCTTCAGCAATGCAACACACGAAATTAGGCGACACGCGCGAACGCTTAACCTTTAATATACTGAGCCGTCGCCAAACGGTGCTAATCCGGAACCTTAATACCCTCGGTAATGCGATAGCTGCTAGTTGCAAAAACCCTACTGCCCGAAGACAAATGTTCTTAGATTTTAGGGTACACAAACTACCAAATAATTACACGACTGACTAGAATTATTGTACTCGAATAAACTATCACTAGTCGTTACCAAAGTCCGGGGATCGTATGAAAACAACAAAAAGCGGGAGTGAAGAGATCATTTGCTGTGTACGAATTCGTCAAAAAGGTGTATATTTGAATGGATTAAATCAGTTAAGGACATCAGTAAATATGATGACCTATACTTTCAAACTGTCCATAGTGGAACAATACTCTAAGGGTCTCCGAAGCGAAAGAGAGGTGTTTTTGAGCACACTTGGAACTGAAGATACCTGCCTAAAACTTCTACAACTTTTAGGGAAGATTCTGTGTTTCCTCAAAGTGGCCTCTACTCTAGTCGGTAACAATGAAATATTTGGGAGAGCTTGAACTACTTCCTGGGTGAAGTGTTTCGTTATAAAGCGATACGATTGTTTCGTTAAATCGTATCTATTAGTAAAATGTCAGGAGTTAGGTGGATGGATGAAATAATCAAATAAATCAGTCTGTTTGTAAAAGTTCGTCACAAAGATGATACGTATATATTGATAACTGAGACCAGGCTTCAGCGCCTATTTCATTTCGGGATGGGGATCCTGGTATTTCGTGCATTACTTCTCAGCATACATGGTAATTCGTTTATTAGTTATCACCGTTTTACCTTTTAATATTAAAGCGTTCCATAATCAAAATTTTTTTTCCGCTGACGGAAACTTAGTTCAAGGTTGACCAATTACGTTGTTTCTGCAGATTCTAGATGATTTGCCGGGGTTTTTATCTCTTAGTTACATCAACTATAATGAGAGAATCATATGTAATCATCCGCCCAATAAATCTCGGGGCGGGCATGTGTTGGTTCGTACATTAGTTCGACGGTTCCCCTCAAGATCTTCAATGTTCTAAGAAGTGTACGGTTGATAAGGTTGGTTTACGAACCTGTTACAGGCAGATAATTCGAGAATTACTCTGTCTTGATTCAACAATTGCAATGAAACCAGTTGCATACAGGGACTTTCCTACTGTCTGACTCATTAGCCATTTGCTCCACAGTGTCTAAGTGTTTAACAAGACAAGTTATTTGTTAATAAACACATTAGTTTGAATCTATGTGGTGATTTTTGACTAAGAGCGTTCAAAGGGCTCATCTTGTACAACGAACCTTCTTATAGCAAAGGGATTTGGGATAAAGGCGCTGGACAACGGAAACTCAGTGGATGTTGTCTACATAGACTTCAGTATGGCTTCTGACAAAGTGCCAACTAATAGACTGCTATTGAAGTTAGAAAATCTTGGTATTGTTGGACATCTTTTAAAATGGCTTAAGGATTTCCTAGTAGGTCTTAAACAGAAAGTAAGAATAAATCCCAAGTGCTCCATTTGGAGCCCAGTGCCTAGTGGAGTACCTCAAGGTTCCGTACTGGGTCCTTTACTTTTTATACTGTATGTAAATGATCTCCTAATTTTAGTGCAGTCCCCAATGTTTTACGCCGACGATGTGAAAATCTGGTGAGTAATAACTGGAGACACAGACGCATGCGCTCTTCAGGCAGACTTAAATGATATGATTAACTGGTCTGAAGAGTGGCTGATGCCTATCGACGCGGCAAAGTGTGTCTGCATGCACTTGGGGGATTCAAAGGTTAATAGGCTCAGCATAGGATAAGTGCCAGTACCCGTGATCCGGTCTCATAAGGATCTAGGGGTGACAGTGAGTCATGATCTTAAGACGACGGCCCATCGCCCTGAAGTCGTAGCTGTGGGGTTTAGAAACCTCTGGGCTTTAAAACGGACATTCATCAAGATACTCCCATGTTCATCACAGTATACACAGCCTTAGTGAGAATTTAGCTTGAAAACTGCGTTCAGGATGCAAGCCCCTGTTAAAAAGATGACTCTGATATCCTAGAAAAAGTACAGAGGACAGCTACCTGTGAAATTCCAGAACTCTGGGGCTTACCATACAAAGAGCGGCTTGAAAAGCTGGTCCTCTTTACTTTGTCCTATCGCAGACTAAGGGAAAATCTGATTTTAATGTACAGAATAATGAGAAATTATTATGGACCTAACTTAATCTGTCTTTTTCTTCCCACTAGATCGGGACATCTCAGACGACATAGCAGGCGAGTAGAAAAGCCAAGAACGAACAAAGTTCCCGTGGCAAACAGGTTTTCACACCAAGTCATCAATACTTGGAACCTGTTGCCCGAAGCAGTGGTGTCCGCACCTTCAATTGACTCTTTCAAGAGAAAACTGGACACTCACAGAAGCATACTAGAAAAGAAATAACATAGGCCGCGGGCCTTTTGTCCTTGATACACAAATCTGAATCTGAAACAGCTGCCCTTATTCTACTAAATTTTTGCGTGAGACTATAATTTATGTACGACCTTTGAGCGACGCTAAAGGGTTAGGAATTAGATTTAGGGTTTTCATCACGAACTGACATCAGCTATGACGCCGAAAGGCTATTTAACCAAATGTATGAATGAATTTCTCGCCAAAATTCAAGACTTGTTATCTTATATCTGACTGGTTCGTCCATAAATTACAGTCTCACCGAATAATAGATTTTAATATTATAGCAGGAATCTATTGGTTTATAAAGAGGACTATAGAAATATCATATCTATCATTGCCTTCTTACTTGAGTGCTTGGAGATTCAGTATTTTACACGCCATTTTTTCAAAAAGTAATTTACTAGCTTAACGCAAATTTGTTGTACTACCGTACAATTACAACATACCACTGCTTATCTACTGCAGCTGCGATATGCTGCGTGATACTAACTTCCCGCCTAAGCCAGTGAACAGCTTGTTTATTATTATTATTTTGCCCTACCTATAGAGCAGTTAAAGTTTGTGGGAAGTCGTATCTTTCATGTCAATGTTTCACTAATCGTAATATATTGTAAAAATTTGAATGATTTGACTTTGTCATCCTTTAATACCTTGCGTTTGTGGGACAGCTGAATAGTTGGGGTGAACAATGTGATTAGGTGCATGAAAAGTAGACATATTAAATTTACTTTCATCATTGAAAGATTCTGACATTTTTTGGTATTACTCCCCTAGATATAAACCAATGATGGCCCAGGAACCTTTACATATTGTGCCAGATAACATCTTATTACATTTGTACACGTAAGTACCCTCTTACTGTCAACTTTTCGACCCTGTAGGCGATTTCTTCTTAATATTCCCGATGAGTTGAAAGAAGATTGTGCAAAGAATTTCGTAAGAATCTTTTTTGAAGTTGAGCGGGCTCATTGGTTTTATGTCGATTATTGTATTGAAGATCCTTCAGTTGGTGGTGTTGATATGTTCGGACTAACTCAACAATGTAGTTTTTCAGCTTCCTAATACATAATCTTTTAGTATTTGAGAAGTTTCCTTCTATTGTCCCCAGGGGTATAAACTGGCAAGAAAAGTATGTCGAATGGAAGAAATACCGTGGATCCACAGCTACTGGGAGCATGATAATTATTGACGAACATTACAAGATGGTAAGAAAGCTTTTTATTGATTTAATTCCTAGATCTTGTTAGTCCAAGGATTTTATGGCAATCGTTGGAGCCTACCTGGTGGCAAAATTAATCAAGATGAATCTCTTGTTGATTGTGCTTCTCGTGAAGTAAGTGGCATAAATTTTTAGGTATTTTTCTATAGGTAATGGAAGAAACGGGTCTGGACTTAGCGAATCGTATCTTACCGTCCCTCTATATTGATCGTTATATTGGTGGTACTTTAAGACGAGCATTCATTGTTGAAGGACTTCCCAGGACTTCTCGATTGAAGCCTGGTACAAAAAACGAGATTGAGGCTATAACTTGGTTTGGGATTGCTGATTTGCCGACACATATACAAGATATTGCTACTATGGAAAAATTGAATTCAAGACCGAACAACTTCTACCTGGTGATCCCATTTATTCGGTAAGCGTTTCACTTGTTATATGTATATACATAACCTCCCAAACAATTCTCCTGTAATTCCTTCTCATCACTAGTTCTTTCCTCTTATGAAACTTTTGGCTGCTTAAAACCTCACTGCCTAGTAAGGTAGATGTGATGAACTGTAAACGACTTCTAGCTTGGATTTGTGTTTTCTTGGCTATCAAATCGAAACAAGTTGATCGAGTTTCAGCTCCTCTATTACATAAAATTCAAATGAATATATCACTAAGTCACTTATTTACTATGGTTCGTCGCTATTATACCGTATGAAAGAGAACTATCAGGAATGAAAAATACTTGAGTTGTCATATTGTTTATTTAGATGTTAGACACACAGCTTCATCTTTGGACCCTTTATTATTTAAACTGCGGAAACTGGTGTTTGTGCTAAAGGAGGGTAAAAAGAATTTAAACTTAGGACTAGCTGGTGAAAGTAGATAATGTATAATTTTCCTAGACCATCCCCAAAAAACCTAAATATACAGACCTATTTTAGACCTGCTTCGGTTTGGACACCTGAGCAGTATCACAGCCCTCACAGATATCAAATGAGATCTGTGTGGCGCATATGTATTTGGTGCCTCCTTGTACCAATATCTATGCGTTAAAATAAATAAATAAAATAAATAACCTATTTTAGTGACGCTTTTTGATGTGTCGGTTTTCGCGGGTCTGCCTGTGTCATAGTTAGATCCGTAAAATTGTCAAATTAAATCCCAACTATCATGGATAATGCTTTTTCTACAGTTTAGATCTTCTAGTTTTTTTCATAAACCATGGTGATAATTTCGAACTTTTAAAAGGAAAAAAGGATAGCACGATAATTGAATAATTGTTTTATGATATATATGCTTAAATCTCAAGACTTACTTACTTACGCCTGTTACTCCTCGTGAAGGAGCATAGGCCGCTCACCAGCATTCTCCATGTAACCCTGTCCTGGGCAATCCTTTCCAGCTCCTTCCAGTTGTAATTCATCCTTTTCATATCTACTTCTATTATCCGACGTAATGTGTTCTTTGGCCTTCCTCTTTTCCGCTTCCCTTCAGGATTCCAAGTTAGGGCTTGCCTCGTGATGCAGTTTGATGATTTGCGTAATGTATGTCCTATCCACTTCCATCGTCTTTTCCTAATTTCTTCTTCAGCTGGAAGTTGGTTTGTTCTCTCCCACAGAAGGCTATTGCTGGTAGTATCCGACCAATGGATGTTGAGTATCTTGCGTAGACAGCTATTTATAAATACTTGTACTTTCCTGATTGTGGTTGTTGTAGTTCTCCAAGTTTCAGCTCCATACAGTAGAACTGTCTTGACTTTCGTATTGAAGATTCTCACTTTGATATTGGTTGAAAGTTGTTTTGAGTTCCATATGTTCTTCAATTATAAGAATGCGACCCTTGTTTTGCAAATCCTCGTCTTTACGTTTGCATCTGAACCTCCTTGTTCATCGATGATGCTTCCCAGGTATGTGAAGGATTCTACATCTTCCAGAGCTTCGCCATCAAGAGTGATTGGATTACTGTTCTCCGCTTTGAATTTGAGGACCTTAGTTTTCCTTTTGTGTATACTGAGGCGTACTGATGCAGAGACTGCTGCTACATTTATTTATTTATTTATTTATTTATTTGAACACATAAATATTGGTACAAGAGAGCGCCAATATATATGCGCCACACAATCCAATCCCTATTCCGCTAACACGTACGTGTGCTGGGATGATCCTTTAGCTCCCGAACAGTAGATGGTTTTTCTAAGAGCCCACTTCTTTTAGCCTTTGATCAACAAGGTGGCAGAGCAATGTGTCACGGTAACCAATGACCGAAATAGGCTAGCAGTTCATTTTTCGTCTCAGGATCATCGAGTTCATGTATCCTATTGGTTTGGGGTCAAGGTTTTCATACTATCCTGGTTGAACCGTCCGTATGAACTAACCCAGTTTAAGCTTTGGATGTTCGCTGTTAGACATCTCACTTCCGTAAAAACATCTAAATGTGAAGGCTGTAACACTTTTATAACAAAGGACATAGGCGTGTGATCTTGTGAAAGCGTTTCGAAAGAAAGTAGAGTTCCCCTATTACCGGTAGTACTACAGGTGAGGTGGTTACTTTGTCACAAGGAACCGAAGTCATGGTTAGATTTTATCGAATAATTTCGGTTAACGGATGAAGGAACATAATATCTGCTGGCCAGCAAACGAAATTACTATTAGAAAAAAGACTGTGGCTGTCTGTAGGGAAAAAACTAAGATATATAGATGCATTAAAGCCAATATAGAGTACTACATAAATTTAGTTTTTGGAAAAACCCCGCGAATTACAGTGACTACAATTTTGATCAGTAAGGCCCCGATTCCGAAAAGACATTTCACTAGCTTGTTATGTTTTCTTACGACAATAACACATAACTCACTCCTGTTAACATAAAAGACAGGATGCACATATCAAATCACCAAATCTTTAATCAGAACACTAGAAAGCAGATGAGCGATTACATGTACATTTATTATTTTGATCTATAACGGATCATATAGATACAAAACGAGATGACATTGAATTACAATATGCACCCAGCCAGAATATTTTACTAAAAACCTATGTCATGCATTTACAGTTTATTACGCGTAGATTTATGAAAGTAAAGATACATCGATAATTAGCCAGTTGAAACGTCTATTGGTAGGATCATAAGGAAATACAATAAATCAACTATTTGAATGATACTTCTCAAGATTTAAAACTCCGCCTGTAGCTCTTCTAGAGTAACTGACGGTCTCAAGCCCGGGTTAAGGAGGACGGTTGTGCATAGGGTTATTTATTATTTATTTGAACACATAAATATTGGTACAAGAGAGCGCCAATATATATGCGCCACACAAAACAATGAGAATGCGAAGAGAAATAGAAAAAAAAGAAAAAAAACTAAGGAGCGCAAAAGAAAAAGAGAACAATAACGAAGAGATTGGTGTAAGGTAGTGTGGTAGTAACGAGGTACAATCAGAAGAAATCTTTCAGGTAAGGGAGACATAACCACTTTTTATGAAGAAAGTAAAAGAAGGTTACAGCAGGATCGCCACTGGCTTCTATTCTGAGCCATATCTGATAACGTCTCTAGCCACTGTGTTGCACCATCTCTCGGACCCCAACCAGGGAGTCGTGAAGAACCAACAGAAGCCAGTCCTTTGTAGCTTTCTTTCATGCCACGACACCATGTCATGCACTGACCACCCCTCCGCTTTTTCCAACCAGTCCCAGAGTCGGCAAATAATGCACGACGTGGAATTCTCTGGGACGATATTCGTAGAACATGTCCAAGCCACCGAAGTCGGTGTTTCAAGATGGTGACACCAATTGAATTATCATCTCTGTGCCCGAACACACGATGCCGAACCTTTGCATTACTGACATGGTGTTGCCACTGAATGTCATCAATCCTTCGGAGACAACGATGATCGAACACAGAGAGTCGTCTAACGTCCTCAACTCGGAGAGACCAGGTTTCACAAGCATAGAGCAAAACTGCTCTCACCGTCGCGTTGTAGATCCGACCTTTTACAGCCAAACTAACATCACGAAGGCGCCAAAGGTGGCCCAGATTGGCATAAGCCGCTCTGGCTTTCACTATTCGTGCATTGATCTCATCACTCACACCCCCACCAGCACTTATGCAGCTACCCAGATACACGAACTTCTCGACTACGTCTATCTGCTCACCATCCATGGTGAGTACAGGATTGGAATCCTGCCAGTCTTGTAGAAGTACTTTGCACTTCGAAGGTGCAAAGCACATACCATACCTACGGACACTGATTGCCAACTGATTAAGTGCGGATTACATGCCTTGGGCATTATCGCACAGTAAGACAATATCGTCCGCATACTCAAGGTCGAGAAGTCTTTCTCCAGGCAACAGATCCACACCGCCATTACTTACATCCATTAGAGCTGTTTCCACAATGTTATCGATCGCAAAGTAGAAGAGGAATGGTGAGATTGAGCAACCCTGCCTAACCCCACTGCTCGAATGGAACAATGGAGAGAGGTGGTTGTGTGCCCTCACTCTGCCTGAGGTGTTTGTATATAGGGCTTTTAGGATGTTAATAAACTTCTCAGGCACACCCTTCTTCAATAGACAATCCCAGAGAACAGCCCTGTCCAACGAATCGAAGGCAGCCCTGATGTCAAGAAACACTACGATTGTTGGCCTTTGATAAGTATGGCGGTGTTCTAACATTTGGCGGAGGGTGAAGATATGATCAATACATCCTCGACCAGAACGAAACCCAGCCTGCTCCTCACTAGTTGATCTTTTTCGGGTTTTGAACAACCTACGAAGTATGACGAAAGCCAATAGCTTGGACGCAATCGGAAGTAGACTTAGCCCCCGATAGTTGTTGCAGGAACGACGTGAACCCTTTTTAAAGATAGGGACAACTATCGACTCATTCCATGACGTTGGTACACTCTCTAGTTCCCAAACCTTTGTAAACAACGTCGTCAATTCCTTAGTCAGAAAGTCACCACCATCTTTAAAAAGAGCCGGAGGTAAGTAATCTGGGCCAGGTGATTTGTAACGCTTCAAGAGTTGGAGTTCCTTGCGGACTTCCTCCTCGTTTGGTGGATCAGTCGTCACCGGCCATGGAGGGCAGGACAGTCTGACCGATGTTGCCGGAGCAGCAGACCAGTTGAACTGCCTTTCGAAAAATTCTGCCCATCGTCCAAGACGTCGATGGATGTTAGTGATTGGCATCCCATCATCCTCACAGATTGTTTCACTCACACCAGACTTCTTGCTGCCAGTGGCTCGGATGAGTTGGAAGAGCTTCCGGTAGTTACCAGATGCAGCTGCTGCTTCCAGCTCATTAGCACGCTTCGACCACCAGGCTTCTCGCTTCATACGCAAGCTTTGCCCAATTTCATTACGTAACATCCTTCGTTTATGGTCAAACTCACGGTCACCCGGAGTAGACCGACGGGCTTCAATGA